CCAGTTTAAAAACCAGCCCCTCTCTCAGACCAGCTGCCAGTTGCCCTGCGCTATTGTCTCTGGTAAAGAGGCAGCAGTGCGGGGTGGCAGCAGCCCTTGTCGGGGGAAGGGGGGAATGGGTCTGAGCTCCCAGACCTGGCACGAGTTGGAACGGAGCTGGGCTGTCTGCCTGCCCGGCTCCTAATACACTTGAAATGCAGAGCCGCAGCAGGAGCAGGTTCCGGACCCAGCATGAACCAGGACTAAGCTGGGCTGCTAAAAAATGTACTGGCAGAGGGGGGGAGAAATGTGTGTCATCTATAACATTAACCTATACGCTTTTGCTTATCAGTTAATTGACTCCACTATTACATCCCTAACCTTCACACCACGTTTTTACATTGGAAAAGATTTTTCCAATCAATGGGCAACAAATCCCCTCCCGGCTCAGATGCTTCTTCTGGAACACATGCCAGGAACAAAGACCTCACACTGATCTGCTCTCCTGCAGCTCTTTCAGAAGGGGCCGTCCTGTTTCTTCACAAGCCCCTTGGCCAGGAAATCTGCCCTGGTTTGGCATATTCGCTAGGTTGGGTGTGCGCCATACACCCCCAGTGCCATTATAACAATCTTCCTTCAACACGCCCAACAGCCTCTCTGACCCGGCTCAGTCCCTATTCTAGCATTGCTTCCCCTCCTTCTGTTCACATGGTCCTCCTGATTTGTACGGCCCTTATTTCCCACCCCCCATCTACATCAACGTAAGATGTAATTAAAGTGTTGCCCAAAGAAGCAAAAAGCCCCAGTGTCCAGGGCCTGCTCCCCCCCCCGCCCCACTGCCCTAATCAGAGCGAGCATTAGAAAAGCACAAGTAACAAACACTTCAAAGCCACAGTTCTGAGCAACAGACAAGAGTCAGGGAAGGACAGACTGACAGCCCCCTGGAGCTCTGGTCTCGTTTCTACTGTCTGGCACACTGGTATTAAACAGTGAATCTAAGAGGCCGGGACTACATGCTGGTGGATTATGGCAAATCCCATTCACCCACAGCGATCAGCATTAAGATTACACCCACTTACCGTTATCTCTGGCCATTCGGCATCAAGCTATACTTGGGAATGGGAGAAGTAGGAAAAAGAATCCTTTAAAAGCAAAAGTTACCAAACATACTTTGAAGACTACAAGGAGGAGCGTAATAACTCAAAGCAATGGAGCAAAAGATAATACGGTAACAGGAAATATTTAATCTTCCAATCTCCACTTTCCATTTTTATAAACTGAAAAGAAAAAAATTAATATATTACAAAATATCTGTACAGAGACAAAGGTACAACCAAAAGAAGGCGCGCTCAGTCTCAAACGAAACTCGGGAGAGGTACAATAGGGTGAGGGTGTCAGACACTTCTCCGCTGTGGAACGCAGTGGCTACAGCTTTAAGACATTGCTGTTAAACCCAAAGATGATCTAACATTAAGAAAAAAAAAATCATCTAAGAAGTTGCCTGTAACTTGTCCCATCAGCTTATGGTCACATACAATTTTTTTTCCTTTTTAAATCCTTTAGTCTTCTATGTACAGAGCCCCTCAGGATAAATTCAGCTATGGCTAATGAAAGGGAGAAAATAAACAGCTGTCACCAACCTTCCCCATGATTATAAACACAAAGGAGAGGCTTGTGCCTCTTCCACCTACATGCTCCCTTCATCAGAAACCCAGCTACTGTCTCTTCTGTTCCACACGTGCAATGGAATTAATGTCTTCATGGCGCAATTCAGTAAACACATTTTGGATGGCGCTCAGTGACTTTGTCCCGCCGTCATTCTAATCATGGAGATTTAATTCTGTCCAACTTTGCTCGGCATGTTTAAAACGTAACAGATGAACAGCAAATACTAGAAGCCCTGGTATTCAAAGGCATGATCCAATAGTGACTGAAATAGATGGGTGCCGGATCAGGTCAAATATCAGGTGCACATGAGGGTGTGGGGAGGTTAAAATTAAAAACTAAAACCAAGACAAAACAGGTTTTTTTTTCAATTCAGAATTGAAAGGGGAACAAACATCCACTTTCACATTACCACTGCCTTTGGGACCCTCAGCATGTTTTTAGGGCATCCCATGTAGTTTTTTATTGACTGATGCAATCAAATCAACCATAATAGCATTTGATGGTTTATAACACAAATACATGTATAAAAACAGTGTGAATGGCTGTTCTCGTTATTCACGCTTATGGTGAAATTGGCAGGACAGGCTACCTATCAATTGGGGTTTAGAGCATTGAATCTTGGAGCCAAGTTTCACTACAAGAGCCAAGAGAGATTGGATCTTGAGAGCTGCTGCGCTCAGAACATGGAGCTCAGCTGGTCTGGTCACACGAAGCAGCTCCCAAGACGGAGGCTCTGGACTAGAACTCCTGGAATTCAGTTCTGCTGGACAGTGAATCACACAGGTCAGAGGAATTCAAGTATATTTCCCCCTTTAGTTTCTGGAGAAACTCCAGGGGTAAGTGAAAGTTCCAGGGATAAAAACTGGAAACAAAAGAGGAAAGGAAATCCAATCTAAAAGGATGCATCTGCTTCATGCACAGACTCAGGCCTGTACCAATTCTTCCAAATTCAACAGACTTGGGAGGAAGAGTCAGGATATCTAAAAAATGTGCCAAGATGTCTGGCAGCTACATGTTGAAAATAAAAATATAGGCAGAGCTAAATAACTGTCTGGAGAGGTTACTGTTTCATTTAGGGCACACTGCATTTTTACAAGACTATTTTTGCACATTAGGCATGAACTGGCAATTGAAAAAAATCCACAAATTTACACTTGGAATTTTGGCAAATTGTGTTACTAGTTTTTGCTGAATCAACAATATAAAAATGTGTTCATACAAATGGACTTGGATACGTTACAGAATAATATATATTTTCTCTCCTTCTACCAGCCTCTTGAAAGCTCTCTCCTACCGTCACTTGTCTGTGTTTATAGGCAGATTTTCTCCCTGTAGGTAGTGATGGTGTGGTTTTAATTTTGAAAAAAAAAAACAAGAAATCCTATCAAATTCCTTTCACAATGATCAGAAGCTCTCACGGCCATACAGATTCTGATCCATTTCACACGTCAACACTGTTATTTGAAAAACTGAAAGAATAGTTGTATGCTTTCCTTCGGAAAAACCCACTTGGAAGAAAAAAACCCCAAATGTGTATTCTTGTTTTATTCATGTTTGTTTAGAAGTCTTACTGAAATGGACAACATTGCAATGTTCTGCAGGAGAAGAAAATCCATTGTAAATACTTTCTTGACCACACCAAAAATATATATATGTATATAGAAATGATACATTAACACCTGTTAACCCTCGAAGTATTCCACTGCTGCCAGCCTGGTTTGAAACAGCAGACACACACCACCAGCCCTGAGCGCATGATCGACATTTACAAAAGACACTCCCAGCTGGCAAAGTTTCCCCCAGAGAAAATTTCTGCTTTAAATCTTAAAATGTTTTAGAATTTAAGAATTACAAAGGTTTTTTTTTTTTTTCTTGCTGCTCTTTTAAAGTTAGGAGTTCTCTTAGGCTCTTGAGCATCTAAAAAGACCATTCCCACTGCAAATGTATGGAGGAAGAATAAAAATGAAATTTAAAAAACAAACAAAAAAAAAACAAAGAGCCCTTTCAAAAGCCAATGCACTAAGGCTACCATCAAAACAAACAATGTAGGATTTGGGGAGGAAGAGAGACACACGGACCTCTTAATCTCCCAAGTGTAAAACTCTGCAAGAAGATCTGACCTGAAAAGGTGGGGGAGGGGGTGTCCAGCAGCTTAGTGGAAAGAAGGGATGCTAAATAAAAATTTGTAATACCAACCAGTGCCATCTCCTGGTTCTCCAAATCCAGTATAGGTCATATAGGCACCATTCCATGAATAATTAAAAAAAAAAAAAAACCCTGAAAAACAAATTGTTTTGGGAAACTGACCCTCTCTGAGCCCTACCTGAACACCAAGGTGGTTCTCTTTCTGAGAAGCCCTAGGGCCAGGCTAGTAAAACGTTTATTTCCTAGTTTTAAATGATCCCCACCATCTGCAGCCTAAAGCTGAAAACTCACTGTTTCTGTCACTAACCAAGTGAGAAGTTTGGCTAGCACAATGCCCAGCCAGGACTCTTACAGTATTTTAGAGGGCACCAGCTAGCGAGCAAGGAATACAACATAGAGCTTTGCAGTAGCCGAAACGCAGACAATACCTTGCTCTGGCAAAAAACAAACAAACAAACAAAAAAAATTCACTAAAGGTTGAGAGGCAAGGGGGAGGGGCGGAGGAGATCATCACAAAACTCAAGTCTCTTAATAAGGAACCCCTCTCCCCCTTCCCCCTCTTGGAGGCACTCTACTAGGCCCACGATAGGCCTTCCCATAAACACCCCAGTTGTGACCCGTTCCTGTCCCACTGGAGCCAGCAGTCCCTGACCCCAGCTCGTTGTAGTTTTGAATTTTGGCCTCTGGATGTACCAGTGTGTTGTTGCTCCCCTCAGCTTTTACAAAGGGTTGCCCAATAACTGAATGTAACACTAAAGGGACTCTGGTGAAACGGAGGTCCTGGTCCCCTGGAAACTGGACAGATCCTGTGCCCTGGTAATTGCTTGCCTCCCCATGGTGGCTCACAGAGCCCAAAAAAGTCCTGCTTTTCCCCAGAGTCTGGGCTGAGGGTTCTGTTAAAGTCTGGCCAGCGTTCGGCTCGTCAGCACCGAATCCCCCCTCCGAACCCTCAGTGTCGTAAGTCCTGGACGACTGCGATCTGACGTCGTCCGCAGATCTCAAGGCTTGGTGATCGTGCGTCGAGTGGCTTAGTGGCTCCGCCTCTTGCTGAGAAAAAAGCTGCAGCAGAGCAGCCGTCACGGCTGGGTTCAACTCCTGTGCTGCACTGGAGAGATCTCCTTCAGACAGAGGAGGTGGTGGTGGTGGTGGTCCAGGGGGCTCGGGGGGTCTCTTCTCTGGTGGGAGAATGCGAGGAGGACATGCTGTGGAAGGGTTACTTCTTTTAAACATCTCAAATCACATGTTAACATATCAACACATTCACAGAAAACAGCCCACCACTGGAGACAGCCTGCTCTCAGGGATGGACTGAGAAAGAGGCGGAGTTTTTAAAAGCTGGCAATCCTTGAAAGGTAAGTGTACATGTTTATTATCATTTTTTATTACTACCCCCGCCCCACGTTATTGGCTCATCAAGAACAGCTTTCCTAACACATGGCTACCCATGGACACAATTCCTATTTTTAGATCAAAGGCTAACCCAGAAAGGGTGAGAAAGACAGCTATGAAGCCACATGACAAGAGTGTGCATCGTGAAAGCAGTACCTCCTGCTGCTGCAAAAGGGCCTCAGTGCTCTATTAATACACGTACTAGAAGCTGTATCCTGGGGCTAACTGTATGCAATGTTACTGATGATGCAAGGACCCACTGTGTAAAAATCAAGAACAAAGTTTTGACCGAGATCCGAGCCCCAGAGTAAACCATAATTTCCCTTCACCACCATATTAGGAAACTTGTGCCAAGAACTGTATTCTTTACTTGGCTTGTTTTCTAGCAGCTTAAGAAATAAATGTGCACAAGGACAGTCTAAGTTTATGTATGTATTTTAAAAATATAAAAGTGGTTTCACATGAGTTACAGATTGCCAGTTACAAAAAGGACAATCAGTTTCTGCTGTGATGTTTTGCCCACATTTGAACTATTAGAATGTTCGCTTCAAAATTCTCTCTCCTTGTGAGAACAAATTACCATTTTTTGCACATTGGTGGGGTCACAACTGTCACTGGTGCCTACTTACTGCTGCTACTGAGCCAGTGGTAAGAACAAAGCAGTCTGCTTTCGTACATTGCAACAGTGAAGGATTCCATCCTATTCCCAGTTAAAGTGCAGCCAAGTCAGACAAGTGACTATGCATTTAAAAAATGAGAGAGAGAATGCAATTTCCTGTTGGACCTATCTGCTTTCCTGGATGTCCCTGCGTTGATGTGCTGGCTTTACTCACAAAACCTGTTTTGGCTGTTGGGCCAACCGTGTCATTCAACATGAGCTCATTGTCAACAACACAATCAGTTGAATGGTGATTCTTGTTACAGGTGATGCCAAGATAGGCAGCAATAATATCACTTGAGAGTCAGAGCCCAGGTGGGGCTTCCAACAAAGGTCATTATGAAAACCATCTTTTGACTTAAAGCCGATCAGATTTGGTCAGAACATTAAGCACATGCTTCCCTGTCGTATTTTTTAAAAAGTTTATTTTTCTGACTATTAACTGCACTTTAAAACTAGGTTGTGTTAGAATCCAGAGGACAAGACAGACTCTTTTGGACCAGTTCCTAATTTTCAAACAGTTAATAATAATACAAGCTGTTGCACTGCACTTGAACCAGTTCTACCGTAACCTAATTATGTTTCTTTACTGGGGCAAAAGTATGATCATGACCAAATGCTGATGGATGCGTGCATTTGGAAGGAGCGATTTCTATTACCAAAAAACAGTATCTTCTGCTGTACTACAGAGAGGAGCTGTGAATAAGGCTGAAAGAGGCTCTCAGGAGAAATAAATTGTAATTCATATGCAGCAGGAGCTTTTATAGTCTGCTGCTCCTATCATCCTGTGATGCTATGTTGGCAATAATGGAAAATATGGATGCACATTTAAACTCACCTCTGGAAAGGAAATCCAAGATTCTACTGACCCAAGCCAGATCTTTTATAAAAAAAACGCTCATTTATCCTCTTAGGAACGGCCACTCAGCTCAATTTTGGTTGAGTGTGTTGAATTTTAGGACTCATGAGAGAGGCCATTAGAATGGTCTAAAACCAGGTGCAGTGAAGCCAGGTGTGCAAGTTTTTTTCCTTTCAGAACTGCTGCTGCATTCCCTGTCGGTCCCATTCCCAACACCCCCTCCCCCTCCGACTTTTCTATACACATTTCTGCATGCGTGAGGAAGACACTAAGAGGAAATAGTCGCTGTGCAGCTCTGATGTCCCATGCAAAACCTGCCTGCATGTGTGTAAATGCAACATGAGTTTATTAGCATAGTACCACTGGCCAATGTTAATCAGTCCCTAGGCATCATATCACACCAAGAAAGAACTTGTCAGGTTTGTCTTTTACAAGAGGAATCGTTTCAAACTTTACTGTCCATTCACCGCACTGGAAAGGATTTTTAAGTGCTCTGGAGAAATGAGGTAGGCGGACAGATTTCTGAAATCTCTGTGGACTACTCAGCTACTCAGGAAGGTTTAACCATGTGCCCTAGCTGCTCAAGCCTATTTAAGTGGTTCCGCTGCACCCAGTCTCTCACATAAAGGACTTGAGTGAGTGGCCATGCACCTCCCCCAGAGAGCCCTGCAGTCTGACACCCCACCAAAGCTAGTGTAAGCCTGGCCCCAAGCTTCTTTCCAATCCTCTGTCAATAACCTTCCTTACAACGCGCACAGGACCTGGCTCCCCACCGTCACAGTAATAAACAAGATGCACTTTTATGGAAGGCTTAAGATTCCTCAGAAGGGTGAATGGCACCCAGGTCCACAAGCAACAGTCACGATTATTTACCTGTGCTTTCCTCCTGCTGCGTGGTAGGGGTTTGCCTTGGCCCACATGGCTCACTGCTCTTTTCCCCATTGCTTTCCTCCAGGTTTACAGCAGGTTCCTGGGTCTTCATCAGCTGACTCAGCAGAACTGCCAGCATGTTCTGCATATCTCCCTGAGTGCTAGCCGCTTCTGGGGTTGCCTGCTCCTCTGGCGGGTGGACCTCTGTGGGTGGCTCTTCTTCTAGGGCTTCCTCCGCAGTCATGTTCTGAGAGTCCTGCTGCTGAGTTGTGGCTTCTGTCAGAGCGCTGATGGACTGGTTGAGAGCTTCCAGCTGCTGCTGCATCTCTGGGTTAGAGTGTACGTTCAACAGCTGGGCCATCTGTGGCACGCTGAGATCAGTCTGGCTCTGCAGCAAGTTCAGTAAAACAGCCAGTTCACTTTGATTCAGCTGCTGCGTGATCTCTCCAAAGCCTGCCGAGAATACAAGAAGTGTCACAGAACAGGGCTTGCCCACACATCCATAACCATTACTTTGGAAAAGAGAGCAGAAAAACCACCCCCCTTTTTTTAAAAAGCAGAGGGAGTTTTAGGAAAGAAATTCCATGTCAGTTTATTAAAACACCTTCTGATGGCCGGATCTGAGCACCCAGTGTTGGCTCTTTGGGCTTATCTTCATTCTCCTTTCTGATGTTAATACAGTACATTCCCCTAGCAGTTTTGAACCAGAAGAATTCCCCAGAGAGCTTTGCAGAGCGGAAGTGCTGGAAAGCAGATCCTTCTGGGGTGGAACACAGCAGCTGTTTAGCAGCATGCGGGACGAATTTTGGCAGAAAGTGCACATGAGGGTGTATCCAATTAAAGTGGCAGGGGAAACTGTGCTGGGCAAAATGTAATTTCTCAGGCTGGAATCTGCTCTGAGAGCAAGTGGAACTCGGTCCCGATCAGCATGTGTCAAAGTCTCATCTGAAATAGGATCCCACCGGGGAGTAGCCTCCTGTCACACTAAGCTAGGGATGTAAAATCCCATGTATTTGGCTACCCAAACTGACTGTGGGGGAGCAAGTGGCCCCCATGCCAACCATTGGTTGGAACACATCCCCCTCCCGCCATCACAGGCAGGGGCTTCTTCAGCCAGGCCAAAGCAGTCCTTGCCTGCAGCCTCCTAGCCAAAGCAGCCCCTGGCTGCAAGGCTGAAGTAGCCCCTCCCCTACCCCAGCCACACTGGGTAACCGTAAGCAGTAAGCTTACTGGTTAACCAGTTAACCTTTCACACCCCCATACTAAGCTGGAGCACAGCAGCAGTGCTGACTGCAAGTGAGTGCCATTTGTTGCATCTGATGAAGTGGGTCTTTGCCCACGAAAGTTTATGCTCCAATACATCTGTAAGTCTATCAGGTGCCACAGGACTCCTTGTCGCTTTTGCAGATCCAGACTAACACGGCTACCCCTCTGAGGCTTTGTTGCCAGGACACTCTCAAACCACTGCCAAGGAACCAGCTATTTTACCAGCTATTGTTCTTTTTTTTGTAAAACAGTCCGGAGCCTGAAAAGAAGCTTCTATTACTCGTTAGGCCAACAGCAAGCTGTGACTTCTGATTTGCCACTCCAGGGAACAATAAAACACACAATCCCACTGCCTTCTCCTTTCATCCCACCTGTCGCGTCCCAGCTCACAATCTTCATGGGCAAGGACTGCCTTCTTTGTTACTGGTCTTTATAGCACCGAACACAGGGGCAGGGAACCTCTGGCCCATGGATCGCATTCGATCCCACTGCTTCACTTGTGGGCCGGAGGGCCGGAGCCTGTGCAGGACTGGAATGTGAGTGCTGGCACCCCGACGCTGCTCCCACCACAGGCAGGGCAGTATTAAGAAAGGGGCTTGGGGGGCTGCAGCCCAGGACCCTGGGCTAAGGAGGCCCCTGCACATTATCTGGCCCTGCCTGGCCGGGTGGGCGTGGGAATTCCCGGCCAATGGGAGCTACAGGGGGTAGTGCCTAAAGGAAAGCATAGGGCAGTGCTGCACTGAGCTACCTGCTTCCCCTCACCACCACTGGGGAGCTGCCCTAGGTAAGTGCCCCGCACCCAGAGTCCCACCTAGCCCCTGCACCCCTATCCCAACCTTCTGCCCTGAGTACCCTTCTGCAATTCAAACCCCTTGGCCACAGCCTGGAGCACCTTTCTGCACCCCAAATGCCTCGTCCCTAGCCCCCACCCTGAATCACCCATTGGAGCCCTTATCTCCCCCCCCCCCACTACACCCACTCTCTGGCCTCAGTCCACACCCCCCTCCCACATGCTGAACCCCTCTTTCTGGCCCCACCCCAGAGCTTGGGGGCCCCACAAAAATCTATAGCCCCAAACTCCCAGAAGAGTTCATCCGGCCCTGACTACGGGTGAGTTGAGTGAGGTTTCTTTTTCCTTTTGACTTGTGTGGGCCCCAACTGATTTTTCTGAGGGCCAATGGCCCCAACTGGAAAAAGTTTCCCCATCTCAGCCAACCAGTGGTCTTTACCCCCGACTGGGGTTCCTTGCTGATGCCATAATATAGACAACAGATTTCTTTAGACACCATTGGATGTGTCTTCTGCCGGGGTCTATAGAACTCCCTTGTGTTTACAGAATATTTAGGAACCAGCATGAATAGGTGCAGCTTCAGGAACGGGTTACGGTCCTGATCCTGCAAATGTTTTCTATCAGGCATAATCTTTACTATAATGATTAATGGGCAAACACCAACAGATAATTTGGATTTCATCTAGTCCCATCTTCTCCCACTCTGAAGGTTAGCCATTATAACGCAACATACAACTAGGTCAAAAACAGTCACAGAATAAAATTCTTAAGCCATCCAGCCCATCCACCTGCCAGTGCACAATTGTTTCCTTCAATACACTCGCAGATACATTGCTGCTCTTAAAAGGACTCAAGTTTCTCTTTAGTGCTTGTCGCCAAACATGCAAAGCAGCAGGCGGGTCAGAATGATATGGACTAAACTCTCATTTCCTCTCAGACACTGTATACGCCAGCTGAATTATAAATTTGTCCAGGGGCTTTAGTGACCAGTTGGAAACATTTTCAATGGACAAAGTTCCCATTGGCACCCACTGTGACGACACTGAACTGACCTATAGCATCTCCAGCGCCCGGCTCTATCTTGAGTGGGGCAGGCTGTGGGTGTGCCGGGCTGCTGCTGTTCTTGACAGCGTCTGTGCTCGTTACAGAGGTAGTTTCTTTCCGAGAAACTTTAGACAATGGAGGCTCCTCCACTGTGATCCCGCTCTGCCGCTGCCGTCGGCGTTTCTTGCTCCACAGCTCGTGGCAATCCTGCCAGTGAGGGAGGCTGGAAGAGGACAAGACGTGGTGAGAAGGGAAAAAATTGGGAATGCGACAAAAACACCTTCTGGGAAGTCCTGAGTTAAACACTTGCATGGGCAGAGGAAATTTTCAATAGCACAAAAGCAGCACTGAGACACTGCTCTGATGGCAGCGTAACACAAGGAGGGTATTGTGATCAAGATGACTTTTCTGTGCTCACACTGCTTCATCTGTAGAGGAAGCTTAAGCCAGGACTAGATTATCTTTGGTGCACTTAGCTCCTATTTAGGGCTCAATAAAAGGGTAACTGGGTGTAATTCAGACAGAAGACTCAGATTGCATGAAAAAAAAAAAAAAAAAAACAAACAGCCCTCTTAAATCTAGTACACAGGCCCAGGGAAAACCCAGACACCCATTTCACTGCCTTACATATTTCTGGATTCCTCTATCGGCAATTAGAGAGATGAGACACAATAACCACTGCCTCACTGATAGCTCTCTAGCAATTCAAGTGTCTTTTTTATTTGATGTTATTTACTTTTTCCCACAATGTAAGAACTAGGGGGCCACCAAATGAAATGAAAAGGCAGCAGGTTTAAAACAAACAAAAGAAAGTTTTTCTTCACTCAAGCGCACAGTCAACCTGTGGAACTCATTGCCACAGGAGGTGGTGAAGGCTAGAACTTTAACAGGGTTAAAAAAAGAGCTAGATGGAATCACGGAGGTTAGGTAGCTATTAGGGGGTTAGGAGGCTCTTAGCCAGGATGGGAAGGAATGATGTCCTTAGCCTCTGTTTGTCTGGAAATGGGCGACAGGCGAGGGATCACGTGAGGATTGCCTGTTGTGATCCTTCCCTCTGGGGCATTTGG